GCGACTGACTCAGAGTCCAAGAGAGCTGGCTGTGATTGGCCAATAATTAAAAACAATTCACATGCTGGGTAAATAATTCTCCAAGTCACATTCCAGAGGAGCAAACATGGAGAAGCTGAAGCTTCCCAGGAGAAGAAATCCTGGTGAGGGGATTTTTCATAAACTATCATGGTGACAGTAGGGACAGTACAAATGAGAGGCAGTGTAGCTGGGTGCAGTTGCTGTGCCACCAAATGACCTTGCTGTCTCATTGTGTCACACCCAGGAGTTGGACAGCTTCTGTAACCCCATTCTGTCCAAGCCCAAGCCGAAGATAGAAGCTCCCAGTGAGGGGCAGGCCAAAGCTAACGGGGAGCACAACGGGCCCGTGAACGGACAGAGCGCTGCCGAAAGCAAGCCCGAAGCGGCCAAGGACAACCCCCAGCAGACCAAACCCCCCGGGGAAATGGAAGTGGACTAAACCTTGCATTTCTTTTACTTCATTAAAATAGTGCAAGTAACCACAGGGTCCATTCTTTTTGTCTGGTACACACCTCAGATGTTCAGTTATTCTTAGCCAAACTTCTGTCATTTGTTGCTGAGTAGTTTTGAAAGTGTTTTATATTAAGTACACCTCTGATGTTCATTTCCACTGATGCTGCTTATGTGGAGCTTTAGCCAAATGTAGATTGTATAAGTCAGTTGAAGCTTTCCCAATATATTTTATATCAAACATACAGAATTGATATATAAATGGCAACAATCTACCTTATTTAAAGCTTTTATTGTGGATAAACCTCAGCTCCTTTATTCAGGAAAGGATACTGTATTGCACTACTGATGCTCAAGTGTAGATCTAATCGCATCTTTATTTTGGAAAAATATTGGAATCGAAGTGGCAAACCCTGTCACTTCAAGCACTGACCTTTTCTAGTTAATGTATTGTTATAATTTAAATATTAAATAGAGGTTAGTTGGCATACCAGTCCATCTTGTTGATGTACCATGAGAATTGTAAGGTCTTTTTCATAGGAATTAATCTGAGCTTAAGCGTTTTTTGGGTTCCCATGCCACTACCAGTGTTGACTGCAGACTGCTCCAGCCCCGTGGCTCTGCTGGGTGCTGGAATCCCTGGGCTCTGCACATTGCTGTACATGCCCTGCTGAGCTTAGGACAGGGTGGTGCTGGTGAGAACAGCATGACAGGGGACAACATCCATGGCCTGCTGCGTAGCTTTCCCTTGAAAATGTCTTATTGCACATGGAACTATTGACACTTCTTTTGTTTTGAGTTCAATTTTCATCTGATTGTATCTCATCCTGGGGAGGAGAAGCAACAGAAACAGTGCTGTGCAAACTGGGTATCAGCACCCTGATTTTGTGGTGGCTTAAATGCTGTTTGGTGCAAACTTGAAAGAAATGCTGAGAGCTTCTTTAAGCCTTGATGCTCAGCACGTAAATTTTTTGGTCAAGGACCAAAACAAAAGAGTTTAAAAACTGGATATTATTACCCCAAAGGTGGAATCTACCTGATGAATTTGCATAGCTTGCCACTTAGCTTTGGTCATTTAGCTCTCTAATGAAAGTGTCTGCAATGTATTACACAATAGAATCACTGTTTTGTTTGATGTCTTAAAGGTTGTCAAGGTCCAGTCTATGTCCCAAATATATTCCAAATGCTTCTGTCAGTCACTGAGGTGCTGCAGCACTTGCTAAAGCCAGTCACTATTGACTTCAAAACTCTTCTGTTACTAGAATGGCAATGAGCTAGTCCAAGTATGAAAAGTGGTTTCTTTACCTAGCATAAGAAACTAAAGTAAGTTGCAGTGTGATGCTTCAGTGACTTGAAGTCTGTCCCAGAAAGAAATTCAGATGTTAACCAGGCACTCCTGCAGTGGTTCTCCCATAGGAGATGTTGCTGTTGTAAACAAGTGAAGAGCCACAATCTTGTTTCTGGCATTTTATCTTCAGCCATGCCCTTCATCTTCTGCCACTGTTCATGCTATGAAAAGTAACTGATGACCCCTGGGAGAGGTGAATTCAACTCTCATACCTTCACAGGAAAAGGAAGCATCATTCATGGCTGTACAGAAATCTGCCAGACTAGTTCAAGTGCTGGAATTGTATCTTTGTGACTGACCTCAAGTGACTGAGATGCATCTACTTTGTTCTTTTCCATGCAATCAGTGTAGATGGTCTGGCACTGTAAGTTGGCATGTTTCATGTCCTTGAACAAGAACTGAGTGACTTTGAGAGCTGTTCTGCAGCTCAGTTCCTCTGTGACCTCAGTCCTGAGTTCTGCCACGGTGGTCACCCCTCTGGTGTTGAGGGGTGACAGTACTGCAGCATCAGCTGTCCTTTCAGTCAGCCTGGGCTGGCTTGGGTCCTGTAGGCTTTAACACCATTTATATCCTAATGGCTTTTACCACAGCAGTGTCATGAGCAGCATTCTCAAGTACTGGCTTCCTAAAATCCAGCTGCACAGTAATTTGTCTAGGTAGACTTCTTGGTACCTGTGGTAGAAGAGCACAAAGCTGCAGAAATGTCCGGTGTCAGCTCCAGTAGCTCAAGGCTCATGTGCAGTAACAGTGTGTCCTCTGCTCATGGCCATCAGATGCTTAATATACCACATCACAGATGTCTGAGGCAGTGCTTAGGATAAAGGCTAGAATAATTCTGAATTCTGCACGCTTCAAAGCAGATATGGTTCAGACAAACAGCTGTAGTCAAGTTTTCTTACTAGAATAGGAAGTTTTTTTGCTGTGCATCTGGTCTGTCTCTAGATCCCTCTGAAGAAGAGTGCTGCCCACACAAGCTGGCTCTGAGGTCCATGTTAGGAATCCCATTTGGGATGGCAGAGTTGATCTTGCCACAGCCAGGTTCATATTAATACATGACTTGCTCATACGTAATCTGGTTCCTGTTACAAAGAGGGGATTTTACAGGACAGATTTAAGTACTTAGACACTGGGCACAACTTGTGTTTTTGTGTGTCACACTCAATGAGCAAGGTCCCTCTGCCTCCCCTGACAGCCCCAGAGTGAGTATCTTGGCAGCACAAAGTTTTGGTAGAGAACCAGCAGCAGTCTGCTGCTCTGCATCCTGTATATTGTAACAGCAAGTATTTCTTGATAATGTCTTACTTGAAACTTTCTGCTGAGGGCAAGATGCATTTCTAATATTTGAAAATGTTCCCTCAATGTCCCACAAGAAGAAAAAAAGGAAGCAACACTATCTTTGTAAAGGCAGTAGAGTTTGTTTAAAAAACAAAAGTTTTGTAAATCAGGTGCTGAAGTGTCAAGTAAAGATCTAGTTAGAAACTAGCAGAAATACATTGGTTCATTTTACCAGTAAGAGCTTCCTTCTTTCCTTTAAAGAGGACTCATTCTCTCCTGTGTGGAGCACTAATGGACTTGCTCAAGAAAGGACTTCAACATTTATTTAAATTTCTTTACTAAACTAAGTTTAGAACTGATTCATGAGTTCCTTTCCACTTTTATTATTATGGTACTTCAGACTCCAAGGAGTTTCTTCAAACTTCAGATATAACATAAACACTCAAGTTGGGGTTTTATGCTCTTCTTTCTTGAAGCTGCTGCTTCATGACAAAACACCCCTTGATTGTGAATGAAGGATTTGATTTGGTATGTCTGAATCTGAACTAAGACTCCTGTCCCTTGCTGGCAGTGTCCTTGCACTGCTTGATCACTGCCTCTGGGGCATGCTTGCAGAGCAGTGAGCAGCTGGTCCTGAATGCTCAGGGGCAGTGGGGAAACGCCCAGCCTGAATTCCACAAGCTGTAGGGGAATTCAGAGCAAGGGGAAAAGCAGGGCAGTGTGTGCAGTGCAGCTCCAGCAGTCTGGACACCTTGGGGTCTGAGGGATGGAGATTTTGTTTCTTCCACCTACAAGTGGAAGCTGTTAAGGAAAAGCATCCATTTGAAATTCCTTAATGTTTTGCTACATTTCTGTGTGCTGAACTCCAGTCTCTCCTACAGATGGCTAAGAACAGTTCTCAAATATTCCATATGTAAGTGGGGGTTTTCTTGTAAGGATTATGTAAGTGTAATTTCAGGAAACAAGCAAGGAGCTGGCAGAAGGGTTTTCTTCCCTATTATTTTTTTGACACTGGTGTGAAAAATGAACAGCCTTAACAAAAGTTGGAATCTACACTTGTCAGAGCTCTGGGTTTCTATGCCTGTCAGTTAAGCAATGCTGGCATCCAGAACACAAAGCCATGTTGCAAAGATGCTGCGTTTGCTGGTTCAAAGCACCTGCCCAGCTGCTGTAGGAAAAGAAGTGAAATTCAGTTCCCATAGATTCAGCCATCACTAAGCTCATTCCTCAAAATAGGGCTCCTCATTGCTGTGTAATCACACTGTAAGACTTCCCCACTTCTGGGAGCCCTTCTCAAGTGAAGCTCAGATGCCCAAACTTGAGTTGTGGGCTGGTATAAGGTCTGCCTGCTCTAAGGATGCTTATATTAATTGCCACTAGCTGTGTGTTTATTAACTGGATGGAGGAATATTTTGTTGCCTCTTGCACTTCTGCTACTCTTAGGTTTTCTCATCTTCCAGGCACCAGGAGACAGAAACTCTCAAAAGAGGTGGTAAAGAACATGTTGCTTAACAAAAGGCGTTAATGCCTCATAAATTATAATTTCAGCTCCCAAGATAGCAGTTGGAGTATAAACACAAGCTCTTAAAAGTGTGTGGTGGCTGACTCCTAGCTGAATTCTTCATTTTCTGCACTTGAAATGTGAAGACTTCAACCACTTACTACACATGTAAATAACAGTGAAAACAACTAAATGTGACTGTTGGCACTGTAGAATACTAAACCAGGAATGTGCTTGATGTGACTTACTTGATACAGCTGCTTAACTTTGGTTTCCTTCTCTTTCCTGGTCAGAAGGAAATGCATCAAACAATGAAAACCAGGAATCATTGCAATGAAATCCATCAAGAATAATTTTTAACAAAAATGCAATTGAGAGCTACACCCATCAGCCACCTCTACCAAGTGTTGAAATAGTTTATTTAAATTGATCAGAAAAGGTGGTAGACCCTGAATGTTGCAGTGCTTGGAAAAGTTTCTTTCCATAGTTGATAACCATAACTCCAGGGGATAAGGGGGGAGGAGATGGGAGCATCAGAATTTCAAGCAGTGTTTAAGTATGGAAAATGTTTACCATGTATGTAAATGGGATCCTTAGTAGTGACAGATCATGTGCAAATTGACAAGACTTGGATTTATTTTTGAATGGCAATACAGATTGTCAAGGTTGTGTATAATTATAATAAATATATAAACAGCTACTTGAACCAGAAATTACCACCCAAGACCTCGTTTTTGCATCAATGTTCTTAAAGTAGCTTTGTCTGATGTTGTGGGTTGATACAACTGGAGTTTGCCCAAAAGGCCACAGGTAAGATAAAGGCATTTTTGGTGCCCCACCTGTCCTGGTGTTGTTTCTCTCACCTTTTTTGGCCCAGGCTGCTGCAGCTCAATCACAGCACTGCTTTGCTTCTGTGGAACTGCAGTTATTTTCACAGCTGCCATCACATCTCTGTGTTAGGATAAACACAAATTCCCAAGTTGCCAGAAATTCATGAATGACTTACTGCAACATACAAGTTCCAGGTAGTTTTCCTGTGCCTTGAACTGAAATGGATGGCTTTGGGCACAGCTGATTCTCTGAGCAGCAACCTATGGCATTCCTCCAGGAATTTTTCAGTGTGCTAGCAGTGTGACAGGAATCCCTGTATCCTCCACCAGGATGCAATGACTGTAGAATTCTGCATAACCAAGACAAAAGCACCAAAAAAACATAATTCAACATTTTTATATCCGTATTCCCTGCTACACTTTAAAAGCTCCTCAAAGTCTGCATTTCATCCAGGCTTTGCATTCTTACATCTCAATAAATAATAAAATATTTCAGCTATATTTCACAGGACAGGTTTGGAATTTTGGGGTGGGGAAAGGTTCTTCCTACTAAAAGAACTGTATATATTTACATGTATATACATGCTCATATATAGTGCCAGTGTAAAAATGTACACTAGAAATCAACTTCCCCTTATCAGTACAGGGGAAAATACTGCCCTTAACCTACTCTGCTGTCTCAGCATCTCAGACCACTCAATCAGCTCCTTACTCCAATATTTACCAGCTGTGCAAGGATGTTCTGTCCCATTGTCACACAGCAAGAGGGCTGTTACAGCAAAATAAGGTGAATGTTGAAAGAATCACAGAGCATCCTGAGTTGAAAGGGACCCACAAGGATCATCCAAGTCCAATTCCTGGCCCAGCATTCCCACCTAGAGCATTGTCCCAATGCTTCTTGAACTCTGTCAGGCTTGGTGCTGTGGCCACTTCCATGGGGAGCTTGTTCAGTGCCCAGACACCCTCTGGGTGAAGAACCTTTTCCTATCACCCACCCTAACCCTACCCTGACACAGCTTCAAGCCCTTCCCTTGGGTCCTGGCAGCTGAAGGTAGCCAGCTGAAACTCTGAAGGAATTAAAAACACAGCCAATAGTATTTCCATCAAAATGCTTAAGTACATTGTGAGACCCTCAATTTCAAATTTTGCCTGAAAGCCAGCTTCTCTGAACTGTAATATCCTAACTCTGCCTCAAGGGGTTGGCTGGGTGCAGTTTCAGGGAGAAAGGAGCTTCTTGCAGAATAAAAACAATTTATTCACAGGGATGGTGTTTGTCACAGAGCTTCTGAAACAAGAGTGTCCCCGTGATCATTACCATGGCTGCAGCTAAATATTATCCTTTACTTTCTCAGCCTAACTCTGTCCTACATTCTTCATTCTCCCTGCAAATATCAATGTGCTCTTCCTTTCATAAGGTTAATTAGATTTTCAGTGGTGCTGAAGCATTTACAATTACAAAGAAAAAAATGACACCTTCTACAGCAAACACAATGTTTAAAAACCACTGGTCAAGAGCATTTTACTTGCAAATTTCTTCAGAAAATAGCCTTATCCTCACATGAGGGAACACTCCAGGAATAAAACTGAGCAGTTGATAAGCATTGAACAGACAGAAGTAAATGTGGGTTGCTAATTATGCCTCTGAAGGACAGTGAAATTAAGTGATGCATTCAAGTCACAAAATATCAACTGCAGGGGGAAAACATGTTACATTTTCAGAAAAGGTGCCAACACCACCAGGAAGGCAACACACCAGCACAAAAATCCCAGCTAGAGTTTGGAGTTCCTCCTGTGGAGCATGGCAGCAACCAGCAGAACTACTCCTGGAAAATAAAATGACAAAACAAAACAGGAAACATTTGTCTTGACAATACTACAGGAAGATGTGGCCCAAGAAGTTTCCTTTCTCAACCAAAAATAACCTTTCCCATTTTTACTTATTCTTTTCACATCTTTCAAATGCTCCTGTTGCAGTAAATATTCCCCACCTAGTCCATCATCTACCTGTGCTGCCTTGTCTACAATATCAAGGACAAAATGCTCTTATATGGTGGTTTTAGCATAGAGAGTGGAGATGCAAAGTGTGCAGACTGTGTGATGGATTTAATGATAATTCCAGACCAAGCTAGGTCTTCATAAACAGGTCACATACTGAGACCACCCTTTTTCATGGAATTTATTTTGACTTGCAAAAGTTTTCTCTATTAGAAACTATCACTTAGTGCTCACAAGTGCAGTACAATCAAAAGAATCACAGAAAAGGCATCTGGAAAAACCTGCAGAGTGGTTCATGCCCTGCTCAGGAACAGGGCACAGTGTGGGGCTGTGTACAGCAACAAACACAGACACCTACACGAGAGGCATCAGCCAAATGAGCAAATCCTTCCAACGAGCTCATTGTTTCCATAAGCCAGCATGATGTCAGCCTGGCTCTGGTGCTCAGTCACTGCCCAAGCTCAGCCCTGGTATCCACAGGGACAGGCTCCACTGTACCACACAGTCACAACTGCTCTAACTTCACCAACAGGGACACAAGATCTGAGGGGGGAAGCTTATGCTGGCATAAATGGTGAAGTCCCACCGGGCTGCCAAATGCTGCCACTATAGTCCAACACAACCAGTAAATAAAATACCCACCTGCCTTTGGCAGCACTGACACAAGCAACACAGTGCTCCTGTAGCATAGGCTTAAGGCCAGTAACTTCATAGGAGGGTTCAAAGCTGGAATGTCCATAAAAATGTGTTAGTCAGTGCAACAAAGCCTTCTGCCACACCAAGCATTTTACTCCAAACAGATTATATTTAATGACCAGCTTCTCAGAATCATTCTTTCAACAAACTTTTTTTTCTTCACTTAGATTACAAATGACTTCCCTTCAGCCAAGGGATGAAACGTGTTGTCACTTTTACAGATGAGTAAACTAAATCACATGGCTAACAAGTTTGACTTGTTTCTTAAAGATACAGATTTACATAAAAAATTCCTTCTCTGAAATAAACTGAATTTCACTACCAAAGACGTAGGGGAGGTGAGGAAACAATTTTTTCCACATCTTTTTTCTCAATCAGTACAGCAGTGGCACAGTCAGTTCCAGGAGGAAGAAGCTTTCAGTTTTTTTTTCTGTCTGGAACATGCTCCCTCTGGAGAACTCGCCATCATACAGACAGATGAGAGCTGCAGCCCTTTCCTGTGTGAGGCAAAGCATCAAAAGTGATCCAGGTCTCAGGACATTTGTTCAGCTCCAAGCCTGACTCAACACAAAGATTCTGCCATTGAAATCCTATTTCCTCTGAGCATGCTGAAGAGAAAAATGCCATTCTCATGAGCAGCTACTGTAAATTAGGGCACCCCAACAAAGGGGAGGAATGACAAGGAGGACTCTGTGGATATTAGAAGGTTAATTAATTACTTTATTATATTATATTATATTATTCTATACTCTATTATACTACATTTAAACTGAATTTGTACAAGCACTCAACCTCACTCCACTGCTCAGAATTTCTTGACTGTCAGCTGATAGTCCCAACACACACACATGGATTTAATGGGTTAATGAATCAAAACACTCACACTAGAATCTAATGACTAATTTCTCTTAGGTAAACAATCTTCTAAAATGTATTCCACTTGTGAACAACAAGAGGAGCAGCAATTGAGATAAGAATTGTTTTTTCTTTCTCTGAGGTTCAGAGAATGTGAACCTCAGAAAATATCCTTGGGAAGCTGTGCTTTGCTTTTCTCTGTGAAGAGAGATGTGGCTACAAGCAGACACAGGAGGAATCTGAAGTGGAGAAAGTTTTAAGAAAACAAACAACCAAAACCTGGGCTACTGCAAGTGAAAATAGAGATTGTACTGCACTGCAGCTACGCTACTGTTAGTCAGACTTCAGCAATAAACAAGTCATGGAAAGTTCTCAAGGAAACCAGTCTGGTCTCCCTGGCAGGAGAGAATATCAGGGAGGAGAACTAAGAGCTCAATAATTAAAGCTGAGCACAGGCTTTTGGCTAAGAAAGGAGTTTCAAAGCTAAGCTTTGAACTGCTTCATGTACCTCCAACTTGAGGCACATTGCAAATATACCCCTGGCACTTTGAAAGCACCTTGTCTGAGTCCTGGTGCAGCCACAGCAGCACAAAGCTCAGCACAGGCTCCTTAATCCTCAAACACAGGCCCAGCCTCTGGCTCCAGTAAAACCAGGCACACACTGGTTGGCATGGAAGTGACACAGATGTGAAGCAATTAACTCAAAGGACTTCTGAGAATGGAGCATGCAAGAAAAAAACCACAAACAAATCAAATGTGAATTTCACTGGGGGAAAAGCTCCCATTATTCTAATTTTCCCTCCTATTCAATATGAGCAAGGCTGTTCACTATTGAGCTGCAAATGTCACAGAAGAAATATAACATCCCTGCTTTTGAAAAATTTAAATCCCAACCTAGGAATCAAATGGCACCTTTGTACAAAGCTATACAACTTCTCTAATTTCAATGGATCTACAGCTGCTTATGTTTACAGCTGAAAATAGTCCACTACAATTTCTGTCCTTGGAAAATGCTCTCTTATGATTGCTTCAGAGGAGCTGCATGGTCTAAGCAGGCACTTCAAATTTATTTTCAGCCAAGATGATGGCAAATAACCACATTCATTTAGTTAGTGATTGGTTCTATTGCTAAAACTGACAGAAATCTTAATTCTCTTTTCCCAAGCTCCTCTTATTTTAGAGGAAGAGGAAGCTGAGGTTGTTATGGCCCAGGAGCTATGTAAATGTCACAGGTTGTCTGGGATCCCAGGAATGCAGCAATGGTCACTTCAGCTTGTTCACTGCCACCACAGAGCTCCTGTGCTTCATGTGACACCAGGTAATGCCTGAATAATCCC